AAACTGACAACACCTGTGTGGGTGGGCAGAGGCTTTGATGGCGTCCTTTTCTCTGACAGCACCAAAATAACACAACTGGGATGAAGATACACGGGTCCTTCAAATGTGTTTTTACACACAGATATGACTAACATGTCCTTTGTATTTTGATCACAATTCTTCAGAAGACAAAATAAAGGATTTGTATCAAGATTACTGTGGCTGATTTAACGCCCAAATATTGATATCAGTATCAGCCTGAAAAACAAAAATGGGGCTATCAATTGCTATATTTGAGTAGCGCCTCTATGTGGGACAAACTAGGGAACTCTAGGATGTAAACGCTGTTTCATCGTGTCCTCCGATAACCTCAGAAGTCATTCAGATTGCAGAGGTGACAAACAGAGATGAGCTCAAAAATAGAAAGAAAAATGACGGGGAAGTTGCTGTGTTAAGGCAGGAAGTGGTTCAGCCAGTAAGCAATGTGCACTGCTATCTTCCCACAGGTACGTCCACATTGTTTCACAATCTTGCCAAATTGTGATCCGACCACAAGACAAAAGGTTGCTTTTATAAAGAGTGCCAAGATGTAAAAATGTCCTCTTACACACACACCTTGTAAACACCTCCTGCCTGCAGCTTTACAGGAAAGCGAGTGCATGCGTGTGCGTGTGTGTGCGGTACATCCTCCCATTGTGTCAGCCCTCACAGGGGGTAACCTTCTCATACTGTTGTTCCACTTCTGGTACAATTCATTTAGCTAACAAACAAACAAACAAACACACAATATTTCAAACACGCAGTGGAAACAAACAGAGCAACTTTCCAAAGTCATTCATGTCTTGGTGCTTCAGTTCCAGATTTGATTCCCATTTTATCAAACAAAACTCCCTTCAGAAGTTAAGCAACATCACACTATAGTGTTCACTCCAGAACTTCACAAGTGATTGTTTAATGACTTTATCTTTATAAATATCAAAATGAAATCACACTGTGCACTCATCTTCTCCATTTATTGGTGAAATGAACTGTTGAAAAAGCAATTTTACTTAATTAAGAGCTTCTTGCGAAGTTCAACATACTATTTGAATCATTAATATCCTCAGTGTTGTTTTAAATCTGGGCAGAGAGAATGTTCTGTTCTAGGACAGATAGATAGCTCGATGAGTAAACACACCAACACAGGAGGAGGAGGGGGGGAGTCCTCTGTACAGCTGGGAGCGGAGCAGTAAAATACCATGAAGCACACACACTTATTAATGACTTGAATTCAATGTATCAAGTGTTTGTCATGTGTAATATGGCGCTAAAGATCAATCACTGCAACACCTGGTTGACAAACGGGATTTGCTACTGTGGGTTAATCGCCAAGTACTCTGCAAACAATAGTTTGATTGAGTTTTCTGTTCCTTAATTATGAAAATAGTAGTCGGATCTCCTCAAAACATAAAAGCCTCTCTCCAATCACTTACTCTAAGCCAAAAATATGAAGACTAATAACTAAAATACTACTCGTGCATATTTCTGCAGAATCTGATTCAAGTCTCATTCGATTAAATACACAGTAAAGGCTCAAAACATGCAAGTGTAAAACAATGACTAAAGATATCAATAATATGTAATGACATAGCTTAACCTTACTGAGCACATTGCATAAAGTGTGTGCGAGTTTTTACCATATGTGTCTCATGTGTGTACCTTAGTTTAAACATTATCAGAATGGCCCTGAAAGCAAACAGTGACAAGTGTCAAACCAGGAGGCCATCCCGCCGGTGGGTGCACGAGAAAACCCACATTGGTAAGCTGTTATTCACGGTGTGCTTTTCAATGAAGTCACTGTATTAAGGAGCCACAACAACAAAAGAGAAGGAGAATCACGATATGAAAGAGACACAAAGGGATCTCGAGGAATGAGTGAACAGAACAAACACAAGCTCTTTATCTGGCTCGCATGTGCACAAGTACACAGTCACATTTCAAACGGCTTTTTATATTGAGCTCTTTCAAAAATAAAACAAAGAAAAAGTACAACAATAAGTGTTTGTCCTTTACACACACACACACACACACACACACACACACACACACACACACACACTAAAGTACGGTTACCTGGTCTCTCTTGCCCACCACAGAAAACCACATGTTGCAGCCGCTCGTCAGCGTTGTTCACACAGACGCGTCCAGACTGGGACACAAAGTCACACACACACACCAACTTCTATCACGGTGAGCGCCTCAGCTCGCCAACGTGCACCGACAAGTCCAAAAAAAACTGAATTACACCGGCTGGGAGTAATCCATTCAGCCGAACGTCTACGTTTAAAATCACTACTTACGGCCGGGAGCGTGGGATAACAATAGTAAAGCGAGTTCCTACGTGTGTGGCAAAAAGTAGGAGTAGAAGTTTAGTGCAGGTCATTTTGTTTTCAAAAGTTCAGTGGAAAAAAAATAATTTAAAAGCAAGTTGAAGGATTAATAAAGCTGTATAAATTCCAGTAAATGTGGGTAAAAAAAAAAAAAAAAAAAAATGCAGAAAAATTCCTCCACGAGTTCCTAATCGCAGCGTGTTTGATAAGAAACAGTGAATCCAGGTGGCGATCCAGAGGTGAAGTGTCGGCTGGGACTCCGGCTGGTCAGAGTGAGGTGCGCTGCTGCAGCTCCACCAGGCAGATGCGCACACACACACAGTTATATAACAGGACAGAGCTCAGCCCAGTTTACCGAGAATTCAAGCAGCTGTTTGACAAAATCCTCTACCTGACTTTCCCACCCCACCCACTTCTCTGCCTGCTCTCTTCCTCATACGTCCACACAGCTCTGACAATAAACAGAGCAAGGAGGTTTCCTCAGCACATCCTACACACACACACACACACACACACACACACACACACACACACACACACACACACACACACACACACACACACACACAGGAAAGCTCTCGCCTTCAGCAGGAATGTCACTCTACCCTAAAGAAAGAGAGAGAACACATACTACTGGCCGATACCCGAAATCAGTCTCGGTATTGGTGCATCCCTAAAAGTAAGAAACCTGAGTCTTCAAGAGTAGATAGTAAATCAGCTCCTTGAGCCTTTAGCAATAGAATGGATTCAAAATATTGTGCAAATCTAAAACAAAATCAATCAATAACACACGCAAGCTGCAAAATAACCGCATTGAACGACACAAAAACAGCAAATAAAACAATGTACTTCACTGTGCGGGACTCCATCTGAGGCCTCAGCACAGAATTACGTAAACCGTCCAGCTCGAGAGGTTTATAAGTGCAGGTTCCCCCCCCCATAGGAAATTTGTTAGTCAAAGTGGACGTCCAACTGTGCTGCATGTTTGTGGCATTTTTAAATTCAAATCCAAACAAATATGGAACATCGTGGTCCCACGAGCCTCCCAAACGCTCCCAAAAAATGTCAAACACGACCAAAACACCAGGTGGTCTGCATTGGCAAGTGGAGTTTTTTGTATGAATGTTATGCAAGAAGCAGGGACACGTGATGACTAACGAATCCTCCGGTAAACGCTCAGGATGAGTCGGCAGATGTTCGGTCTTTCTAATAAAATGGAAAGGTGACGATGGGGATGTTTGTTTTAACCCCTGATAACTGGGTTGGATGGTGACAGCTGGTATATGCAGGTGTTGTGTTCTCTCACTCGGTGGACACTGTGTGATGGAGGTCTGAGGGGCGGCTTTCAGCATTTGTTTTACACATTTTCATTATTATACGTTTCCTGTTTGCTGTATCTGATCAGTCTTTGTGTGTGTTCACCGTCTCACACGACTGCAAGACAATAATTGGTGACATTTAAGTTGCGTAGAGCTGAAACGATTACTTAATTCATCAAATGAGATGAGTCAGAAAATGCATCAGCAACTATTTAGATGAATGATTGATCATTTATGCATTTCTTTTTTTTAAGCAAATTTAAAAATATTCACCGGTTACGGCTTCTAAATTGAGAGGACGTGCTGTTTTTATTTGTCTTCCATGATAGTAAACTGAGTATTTGTGCACTATTTTCTGACATGTTATGGACAAAACGATTAACTGAGTAAATAATTGGCGGCTTAATAAATAATGAAAAATAATTCTGCACATACACACATCTGTCACACATCTAGAGTTCTTAATATTCAGAGTTCATTATGTCCATACAGGTTTGGGACATTAGCTGCAAGTCTTCCTCATATTAACTCACTATGTTCACTGTTGACCAATAAAAACATATGTTGGACTGTGTAAAATGCAGGTGACATTACAGTTTACTAGTTTGCGGTCTACAGTACGGCGATCTGTTTCCAGCAATATTTATTTTATCCAGCAGATGCCGCCACCGTGCACATCTCTCATCTTTTTCGACACTCATAATCATTGTTTTGTTGTAACTCTTGATTTAAATGAAAACTTCTGGAGTTTCAGGAATATAAATGACCCTGAGGTGGGTGGGCAGACTGAAACCTCTTTCATTTTTCCTCACACCAGAGCCGAGTCTGCATTTTCTTTTAAAGTTAAAAAACGGAGGTGATTTTGTATAATTTCCGCGTTTTGTTAATACATGAAAAAATAAACATGGACAGCGGTCCTAACCTCAACGCCCACTCCCACATAAGAGGAGACTAAACGGTCTGCGATTCATCCAGAACTTTCTTTGCGATGTCACTGTTTAGTCTCTGCACTGCTGTCAGACTCAACAATGAAAGCAGTCTATTTAAAACTGCAGCCTTTGCTGCCAGCACCGTGTTGCTCAGCCTCACACACACAAATCCAACGCACCGTCTCCACAGCCAAGATGAAAACAGCTATTTTTGGATTTCCTGTCAAATTCGTGCAAATCCTTCACACTTCTGCCTCTGAAGATATTTGAAAAATATATGATTTCTGCCTTGAAAGAGAAGTTCTCCAACTAAAAAAAAGTTTTCTTGAAAAGCTCAGACACATCTCAGATCTGCTGGAGTTTCGATTCAAAACACACACACACACACAGGTGGTATTTCCTACCTTGGCAGCAACGATGCTGAGGCCCATGCCGTTGTGCTTCTTCAGGGTTACCGTGACAACCTCCGGGTCTTTCCTCATTGGCTGAAACGAGAGATGGACAGGAAGGACAAAGGTTGAGTGAGGATGGATGTCAGCGAATGTCCTCTAGTGTTTCCCTGCATCTGCCACTGAAACCAGACGATGGAGTGAAGAGGAGGGATGAGAAAAGGGAGGGAAGGAATGAGGGAGGGATGAAAGGGGAAAAAGGGAAAGACCACAAAGGAACCTGTGGTAGCTGGATTCAAGTCAAGAATGAAAACCACATCATGGCTACACACACACACACACACACCACACACACCACACACACACACACACACACACACACACGTTTGAGAAGCAGGACTGGGTGGAGAGA